ATTGTCTAGAGGTTTTCCAACCATTCTAGCTAAGAATAGGTTAAGGGTAAACATTAGCTTTAACTTCTACTTCTTTTTATTAAATATATAAATTAATACAAGTTGTATCCACATTATATATTTTGAAATAAAGGAATAGAGGAAAAACTCTTCTTAAAAAATAAAAAAAAAACAAATCCAAGAAATCAGAATAACTAAAAACCTGTTTGGCAAGTCCTGAGTTAGAAAGTAGCAGTAATCTTTGATAGTGCTATAGGAAGACTAAATTTGGTACTAGGAACTAAGATCAGAGAACTAAGTGATTAGATTTTTAAGTAAAAGACATACTAGCCAAACTGTCAGCTTGCTACTGAAGAAAAAAGACTTGTGCTTTAGAAGTATATACCAAGAGGAAGAAGACTATGAAACATCTAATGTCTAGACAAACTGACTCTTCCAAATTGCTAGCTAGAAGTAAATAAGGGACTGATAAAGAATCTAAAAAAAAAGAAGTTAAAATATAGGTACTAAAGTTGTTGTAAATCTTGCAAGAGCAAGAAGTACATAATAGAAAACTAATTAGAAAAGTTGTAGCTTGAGATATGAATTAGGTTATGGCAGTATTCAAAAAGATAGCTTGAGATATAAACTTAGTGGTGGCAGTATAACAGATACTAATTAGTAAAAAGTTACCAAATATATAGGTGAATACATGTGTAGAACATATACTATTCTGTTAGGTTTACTACAAAGATAAATACTCTTTTAGAAAACTAGGTTAACTAGAGGCTAAAGTCTTAGGGTTTTTAATGACAAATTATTCCAAAAGGATATATTAAGAGGAATATTATGCAAAGGTTAAAACCAAAGAGCTTAAATAGATAGCTTTTTAGTTAGGCTATAGATATATTGACTAGTATAAAACCTTAGGATGAACTATTTAAATTAAATAAACAAAAGTTGTATATGTAGCTAGTTATACTCTCATAATACTACTGTAATATATTGTTGGTCTACCTGATTAATAAATCTGTTAGAACTAATAAAGTGCCAAGGGCCTAAGTGATTATTTTAATATTAAAAAAAAAAAAATTTTTTTTTTTTTTTTTATAGTAAATTGCTTATATGCTATAATTTTTATTAATTAAGAACTTAAGAACTTATTACATATTATATATTACAGGAATTAAGTTGTGCTATATTAGTCTATCTAATGACACCTACTCTAAGCAATTTAGTCATATTTTTGCTATATATTAGAATTTAATCAATGGTTATTACCCTATTAATCAACTTCTAGCTAGTGTATAACCTACCTTTTTTTTATATATAGTTTTCTGTATTGTTATTAGTATTGTTACAAAGTGAGTTGTAATACAGAAACATATTAGAAAATAGACTTAATTATTATTATTATATTATTAGATTATTAGTATAGTTAATTAGCATATTAAATTATATTATATTATATATTGTATTAGTTATAGTTAATTATATTTAGAATAGAAAAAGATCTTATTAGGTAAAAAAATATAGCATAGTGGTGCTGCAGTTAAGTAAAATAATACATAGCACAAAGTGCTTCCAAGTGTCTTTACACAAAGTGCTTCCTAGTGTTTCTATACAAAGTACCTCTAAGTGCCTCTATACAAAGTGCCTCCGAGTGCCTCTATACAAAGTACCTCTATACAAAGTGTTTCTAAATGTCTTTACACAAAGTGTCTTTAAGTGCTTCTGCACAGAGTACCTCCAAGTGCCTTTATACAGAGTACCTCTAAGTACCTCTGCACAAGTGCTTCTAAGTATCTCTATACAATTAAGCAATTATACTATATATTACACCTCTATCTGTTGAAAAGTTATAAAAAGGAAGTCTTCTCTTTCTACCCAAGTTAGAGTTTTTTATCCTTTCATAGAATCTAGTCTTATCCTTTTATCCCTTTTAACTTGTAAAGTGTAATATTCCTCCTCTAAAGTAATTCCTACAGGCAAGATTATCATCATAAACTTGTTATTAACAAATATTATTATCTATATACTATTATTATCTTGAACCATTTGCTTCTTGCTATAAAGTTAAAGTATATACTTCACATCCATCCTGTGTATATTTATAAAGTAAATCACTATACTGGGTAATCTTGTTACTTTGCTATATTTATTCTAAGAAGACTATAACATTGTAATATTTTAGTACCTTCTAGCAGAAATACTAAAATTCATTTCAGAACTCTAAATACTATCTAGAAAAATTTAAAACTATCTGGAAAAAACTAAAACTATCCAAACTCAAAGTCAAAGTATATTTAGATATCTTGTCAAATTGAAAGAGATTTGTACAAAAAGGCATACTTGAAGTCTTTGCTTTAGTAGCAACTTAAAAAGTCCTGTCAAATTAAAAGAGATTTGTACAAAAAAGCCACTTTAAGCCTCTGCTTTCATAGCAACCAAAGCTTGCAGCTTACTGCAAATCTTAACTGATATTAAGCATGAATTACCCATGAGCCAAAGTATAGGCGTAAGTAATTCCAAATTTAAACTAAATATTAAATAAATTAATATTTGCTATTTTCTATATGTATAGAGTATATCAAATATATTTAGAATAGATTGAAGCTCATGAAACTAGTCATTTTTCACCTTTTGCTCTTGAAGTTATCCAACTTAATAATTTAGATCTATCTTGTCTCAAGTATTATCCTGTTGTTAATCTTCACCGAGAATTTCATCATTTTTGGCAAAATTATAAAGATTATTTTCTTACTACTAGATATAATCAAAATATTGTTAACGCCTATTATATCTTAATCTACACTCGAACCTATAATCTTGCCAGAGCAGCTGCCCGAGATATTGTTTTTAGCTACTGATATAACAATTCACAATTCAATTCTACTGAAGCTATTATCTATCTTCTACATACCCTATTCGAACTTGCTTCAGTTTTATCTATTAATTTTCTACAAACCATATTAGACTTATATATCAAACACTCTATAGCTCACACTTTATTTTGATTTAATCAAGTTAGCCAAGCCATTGCCACTACTTTAGAACATCTTTCTTCTATTATATGTAACCAAGAAAATGAACTTGAATTTGTTACTTCTATTGTTACAAGATCTATTTATACTCTAGGACTAGAAGAATTAGATAGATCCCTTCTTAATTCTCCTTTATTAGCCCTATATAATGAAAATACAACTCAAATCGAATTTCTCTCTAGACTTCTCTTATCTTCTTTTCCTTTTACTAAAGTATCTTTAGATAATCTCCCTTCTTCTCAACAATATAACCCATTTTCTAGCACTTCACAACAACCTGGTAGGGTTGTTCAATTATTTCAATAACTCAACCTCTTTAATCGAGTCTCTGTTATCCAACCACCTGTTACTACTACCTATCTCTTAGCCAACTTAAATAATTTCCCTTTAATTATACTCCTTTCACTATAACAACCACCTTCTACTAATCCCTCTCCTCCTTTACTACCTAAATCTGCTAATTATCAAATTATAGAAATAGGCCCAGAAGCTAACTTTGAACCAAATTTTTTTAAAAATTTTGAATTACCTGGACAATACTTGTTACCTAGTAAATATCCTTCTGATAATAAATTTAAGCATACTGTAATATTAAAATATTTAGAAAATCAAAACCTTGAGCCTGAACCTGAAGAAAAAATATTAGTAAATAACATGACAGTCACTGCTTTAAATACTGCTATAGCAGCAATAACTTAACTTGCCGAAGCTCTTGAATAAGGCAGTGAAAAATTACTCATCAAAATAGATTATTATCAAGATGATGGAACTCAAGATCCTATAATTTGGATAGAAAAATTTGAATGAGCTGCCAAAGCTAACTACTGATGTGCTACTTGACAACTAGAATTAGCTGCTACTTATATGAAAAACAATACTCAAGAATAGTTTACTAGTTTTGCAAATGCTTCAACTCACTTTCATCATGCTCAACATGGCCAACTAGTAGATAGTCAACAAATTAAAAGTTTTTCTCATCTGTTCAAAGAAAAGTTTAGCACTACTAAACAAAAAGCCAAATAGCAAAAACAATTTTTCGAAATAAAACAAAAAACAAATACTGTTGATATCTATATTAGCCACTTTAAGCAATTAAAAGCAAGAGCTGATCTCAATAATAACTTTTTTGTCTCACTACTTATTCAATTCTTTATTTAAGACCTATATCTGGAATATGTTATAAATATCCAAGCCACTAAATATAATACTTTAAAAGCTACTATAACTAAAGCTAAAAAATAGAAAACTAAAAGAACTATAGCTACTAACCATAATACAAATAATACCACTAAACAAGCTATTAAACATTTTACTAAGCAAATAACCAAACTGAGTATTAATCTTGCTGATAAACAAAATACTCCTCCTTCTATATCTGTCTACTATACAGACAATAAGAAAAGTTCTCTATAACAAAATAATAATAATACTAATAGTAGTATATACTATTATTATAAAAATAAAGAATATTTTATTAGAGAGTGTCAGATTAAAAAAGAAGATAAAAGTAGAAGATCTTGTGATTATTCTCGATATAGATCCTTTTCTTCAAGAAACTATCAATATTCTAATAGATCTCGATCTTGAGATGAAAACAGAAACAGAAGTTAATCACATAATAGATATAGAAATAGAAGTCGAGAAAAAAACTACTCTCGTGATAGAAGCAGATCCAAAGACAGAAGCCAAGAAAGATGGGGACCTAGATCCTATTGCTTACCTTCACCTTATTATCGAAATATCAATATAGCTGAAAAATCCTATCACAACTCCAATATTCAAGCCTCTAACAATTAGAACCAACTTTTAGATAACTATTTGATATATATTGCTTTTACTATTTATATTACCGAAATGAACTGAGAAAACACCAGGTTTAATTCAAAATATAATAGCAACATAACTCCTGTTAAATGTTTTGTGAATCTACAAGACCATACTTATTTTGCTATTATTGATAGTAGAGCCTCTGTTAGTATGATCACCCACAAAGTTGTAAAAGAACTAGGATTAAAGATCGATAAACCTTCTAAAAGTTTAATTATCGCTACTACTGGAACTACTTCTCAACTACTTGGTATCATTAGAAATTTACCTGTTAAGATATAGAGCAAGACTATCTCTATTAATATTGAAATAGTCCTTGCTACTGTAGACAGTTGATTTCTATTTATTTTTTCTTTATTTTCTTTATAACTTATTATTATTATTATATTATGTTATTTATTATTATCTTTTACATACTCTACTATCTATATTTTATAAAAACACCTATATTATACTATTAATTTTATATAGTATATACGTTCATATAACTTCAGGACCAATTTTCTCAAAATTTTATTAAGACAATCTTAAAAATGATTTTATAAACCCCAGTATTTTGACCTGTAAAACAACTTTTATTAATTGACCTTTAGCTTTTAACATAGTAAAATCTTTCATAAATCAAAGATTTTCTAAATCATTCTTTGATTTTCTAATATATAACATATAATTTTTAATTATGTTACAAAGGATTGTTATCTGTATATTACATGATCTTATATGAAAATTAGCCTCAAAGCATTATAAATAGACCCTCTCTTTCACCTTTTGCAAAATAACTTTTACATTTCACCTTCTTTTGGTTATATCTTTCTTATATTATTATATTTTAAACTTTTTTGTTGTAAAAGTTTACTTATAAGTAATAAAATATTATTTCTTTTATTATTTTATCTTTTTATTTTTTTGTTTTTTATTATAAGGCTACAAAAGTATGCCATTGCTAAACCATATATGTCTCTTGTTCTTTTACAGACTGCAATAAGGCACAGCAATTATTAGCATATTACATACTAAGACTCCAAAGTTTTATTTTATTTTTTTCTTTTTGTCTTGACTCTTTTAAATATTAAACCTCTGTTGTTATTGAACTGTCAAGTTATTACTCCCTTCTGCTTGTACATTGTATTGAGTTTAAATCTAAAGTAGTAATAATACTATCTTATATTCATTGCTTCTAGAAAATGACTGGTTACAAAAAGTTGAAGCAAATTATAATTGAAAAACTTGCAGTATACTATATACTAGAAAAAAAAAAAACTTACTTTGGATACCTTATATAAACAAAAACAACCCAAAGAAAAATAAGCTATGTGTACCAACGCAGAAGACTTGGAACTATATAAACAAGAATATTTGATACCTCATAAGGCCTATGTCTTTTTAACCACATATCAAAATAAAGAAAGTTGAACTATTCAGTTACCATGTCGTAAAAGTATACCAATATGTAAAACATGTAGATTTCGAGATCACTAATATAAAAACTGTTCTCAAAATGAATATCGATATTGCTATAAAAGAGGGCATATTATTATTAATTGTTCTAATAAACAACCAAGAAGAGCAAATTGTAGAAGCTATAATCAGACTAATCACTTATTTAAAAATTGTTTACAAAATTTATATTTTGTTATAATTAACTAGAATATATAAAAATTAATTGTCTACTAGCCCAACAAAAGTTAAATAATCTGATCTATTGCTGTGGTTGTAATAAAGCCCAAATTAAAGCCAGAAGACTGACTCATTACAGTAAATGTAGAACCTATTATTGCTATCAATATCTAACTCCTCAAGCACCAAATAGATTACATCAGCTAAATAATCAACTTGTCTGTATCTCTTGTTACAAGACTTACTATAAAAGTTTAGAATATAATAATCTACAAAGCCAAAAATATTATCAAACAGGACTAGGAAGAGGAACTCTTGTCAACTGCAAGATCTGTAATTACCAAAAATCTAGAGCAAGAATATACAGAATAAAAAGTATTTAAAAAGAACTTTGGTTTTGTGAATTAGAACATATGTATGCTTATAAAGTATACCAAGATCTAATTTACAACTCAAATTATAAAATTTAAATAAGGATTAAGCATTAACTAAGTTTATATATAATGCTGGACACCAATATAACCTAAATCAAAGCAGAATTTATAGATTAGCCCAAGCCTTGTTAGAAAATAAAACTAGCCAGATTACAGAACTATTAATAGAACAAGATAGTGATCTCTACAACCAAGATTGAACCTCAGATAAAATTACTATTTTTCTTAGGAACAAGTGGCTTTAACAGAAAATAAAGAAACTACACTACAAAGAATTTTACAAGAATTATTTGATATTTCTTAACTAAATTTTGATACTCATAGAGCTATAGAAAATTTATATAAAAATTTTGAAAGCAAAGTAGCTCTCTGTTTAAAATACTTACTTGCTAAACAGAACACAGAGTTAGATCTAAACCAAGGACTTTGCAATGAGTGTTATCAAGAACTAAATATACCTCTTAAAGAAACAGAGCCAGGACTATCTACCTCTATAATACCAATAGTATTAGAAGAAGAATCAGGACTATTAATAAGCAAAGAAAAAGGGAAAGAGAAAGAAATAAACTTAGAAAATTAACAAGAAATTATTGAACACTTAGAAGTATATGTTCAATATCTAGAAGAAATAAACGAACAAATAGCTAATTTCTTTAAAGAACAAATCCTATATCACCAAGAACGAGCTAAATACTACTCTAAGTTGTGTTCACGACAAAATTTTTAAACTATCCTAGGCATGATGAAAAACTACCTGAAGACTCAGAAGAATTACCAACAGAAAAACAAGTCTTGCAGCTAGCTCTGCAAAAAAATGCAATAAAATATAACTTTGTATACACTATAGATACTTTAATCCTTTATGAAGAATATATATTAGAAAGAACAGATACAGTTAATATTGGACTATTGACTAAAGAACAAGAAAAGAAATTCAAAGTCTTATTAGAAAAGTTAGCAGATTTATTTGCAAAAAATATTTCAAAACTAGAACGAACTAATCTAGTACAACACAAAATCTATATAGAAGATATACTTCCAATTAAATCTCGATCTTATAATGTATCTCCTGATGAGCAAGAGTTTATCAAAAAAGAAATTGGAAGAATGACTAAAAGTAGAATTATTTGACTCTCAAAAAGCCCATGAGCATTACTTGTTGTTCTTGTATAGAAAAAGAATGGCAAGCTAAGGTTTTGTATAGACTATAGAAAACTAAATAGAATTACTAAAAAGAATATTTACTCTCTACCTTGAATCCAAGAAATGCTAAATACTCTATCTGGATTAAAATGGTTCTTTACTCTTGATTTTGCTAGCAAATATTGGCAAGTCATGATGGATCCAAAGGATAGGGAAAAGACTGCATTTATTACTAAATATGGGACATATGAGTTTAATATAATGTTTTTTGGACTTTGCAATACTCTTGCAACCTTTTAATAGTTAATGGATTAAGTTTATAAAGGAATTGCATGAAAGTTTGTAGTAGTGTATCTTGATAATACTAATATATTTTCTAGACCATTTGATAAGTATTTAGAATATTTAAAAACAGTATTTAAACATATTAAAAATGCTGAATTAAAACTTAATTTAAAAAAGTGTAATTTTTGGATAAAATCCTTACCTTTTCTAGAATATATTATTAGTGAAAAAGGAATAGCCCCAGACCCAGCAAAAATATAAACAGTACAAAAGATTCTACCTCCAACTAATACTACTAAGTTACGATCCTTTCCTGAACTATTGAATATTATTAACAGTTTATTTACAATTTTTCATCAATTGCTTAACCATTAAATTAGCTATTACATAAAGATAAACTATACCAGTGTTGTTAACTGGAAGCTGGAACTTCTACTGGACATCCAGATTTTTCCAGTGTTCTAGTAGTTCTAGTTAAGATTTTTTTTACTGAAATGAATATCATATCAACCAATCAAAATGCGGGACTATAATTATGTATATCATACCAATATCAACCAATCAGAGAACAAGTGTTATACATTTATATATATAGTAAATTTATTTATTTAATAATTCTTTTAAAAAATAATACAATACGTAATAAAAGAATATGAATAATAATACGTAAAAAAAAAATAGATCTATATTTAATTTAACTTCGAATCAAATTTAAACAGAGCCATGTTACTTATTTTAGGTTAAATCTGTACTCGTGGTATGGTTAAGATTGAAGGCTTTAGGTAAATTTCCTATATTAAATATTTCAGTATTTCACAAAGCTGTGAGAATTGCAATAAGTTTGTTATCACTATAATTTTATCAAAAGCTAACCTTCAGAATTCATATCCTTTAAATTGTTTTGCAGCCAAATTTGCCTGCAAAATTTTTTAAAATATAAATTTTTTTAATAAAATTTTAAATATTGA